TTTCCGTTAAAAAGTATTTTCGGCTGCATGCAAATTTACTGGATGGTTAATATCGAAAAAAAACTTTGTATCCAGAAATATAATTCACTTTCCATGTATTTGCCCACAAAAAAATTACAACATAGGACATCGAATTATACATAATGATCGTTATTGAGTTCAAATATTTACAATATATTTTGTTTGTCTGACTCAACAAGTAAATCAACTTATCTTATATTGATTTCATTTCAATTTCAACATTCTAGATTGATCGAAACTCACAATAACATCAGTTATTAGCTGTGAAATACAGCGATAATTACACAAGTAACCTTCGAATTCTATAGAGAAAAATCTTTGTACATGAAATTTTCCTCAGAAACGAATCGGGAGATATATACAATACATCGTCGATCTTTTTTTTTCATACATATACTTCGTAGTTCTTATGGTTAGTCAGTTTTTTTTATTGAATAAGACTATATTTTGTAATTGACCAAGATACATATCATATTGACTTAAGATGAACTTGATTATGAAAAGTAAGTGGCAAATTTACTTCTAAGAAGATGGCCAATATTTCAGAGATCCATCAAAATATCGTAGCTTTGTATGTTAATAAGAAACTTTATCGATAGTCATTTGATTATAAAAAGTTCTTCCGTAAGAGTAAAAGAAATTTTTTGATTCTAGCCGTTTTTAATTACAGATATAAACAATATGTTAAGACAAAAACAATAGCAATACAAAGAAACTGTATCTCGATATGCTTTATGAATGATGAGATGATCAAATATATCGGGCAAAAGATTTATATTCTAATATAAGAGGTTTTAGATCTTTTTTTCGATAATTAAAGTTCAAGTAGAATTTTCTGTTGAGAAACTGTTTTTTTTCATAATCGATGCATTTAAATAATTAACTAACATTTCCATTGTCAATGAAAATCAATTACAATTAGGTAGGATATATCACGAAATTAAGGTTGTACTGATCTATTGAATTTGTATTCACAATTTCAGTTCAAACAATTATCCAGTTCAAAATAAAAGAAGGGTGAGTATTTTTAAAATAGTTTTCGATGGAAACTAGATAGAGATCTGCGATTTTCATCATTTAAAAGAGACGATGAAACCACATTGAATTACCAATACCAGATTTTTATGGCACGATTTCTCATGGTCTTCTGACAAGTTTTTCGACAAGAAAACATTACGTAATGTAAAACTTTTGAAATTTTATTTTTCAGTAGTGCATCGGAATCATTAACTAATGCTTAATAATCTCTGTAAGCTCTATGCTAAAAGGCTTAGCTCATCACGTGTTATGAAGATCTTACTAAGTATTTTAGAAGTATTTTCAATGAAAAAAAATCGCTTTTTTTCAGATTTTTTCTCAAAAAATCGACCTTCTAACCCTGTTAAAAAGTCTCAATTTTCTAAAACCCTTGGCGGCAAACTCCGCAAAACTGTACCAGAAAAATTCGGTATTGATAATTTGATGTAGTTTTATTGCCTCTTTTAAATGGTGAAAACCGCAGATCTTTATCTAGTTCCCATCAAAAATTGTTCCAAAAATACTCACCCTTCTTTTTCTTTTTGCAATGGATAACAGAATGTTCAATAATTTTTACAAATCATAGACGAGAAACAAAGCATTGTGATAAAAGGCAACAAATGAAGAAGAAATTATGACAATCTTTTTTGATTCAACAAAGGAGGGTGTCGGTGTGAGTTGAAGCTTGATTGATGAAAGCATCACTCACACAGCCTCATCCAATGTCAAATCTATAGAGCAGGAGAGAATGTTCGTTCGCAGCTCTTTGCATATCACTGGCGTGTATATAATTTTAAGTATCCCGTTCTTTATTGAACAAATTTTGAGAAAGATGCTGGCATCGGATATAAGTGTAGGAAAAAACTAATACACATTCAGACTCATACTCCAAGAAAATAGATAACTATGCTTATAATAGTTTAAATTTTTAGGCATTTTCAAATCGTTAGAAGTTTCTAAAACTTTGAAAAAATGAACTATTCAATAATTTTGACACTAAGATTTCATAATTAGTACGAATGTGAGATACGCCAGTCCTGGTTAATCTTCCGATAAACAATTCACAAATTAGTTAAATTACTCAGCATGAAATAAAATTTTCAAGTCAGAAGTAATAAAAGAAGCAAGTTAATAATATTTTTCGAATAACAAAAAAACTTTTATCATGACATTTTCGTGAAGAAGAGCGACGTTGACAAAGCTGTACGTTTTTCAGTCATTTGTTATGTTCAGTATCAAAAACAATGAAAAAGTACGTCTTCATTTCTAGAAATACACAATTTTCTAAGGACTTAAATGATGAATCTCCTTATGAGAAAACTTTGTTTCGAAATCACTAAAATATGGATAAATATTCAAGAAAACTGTATAATAGTCATTTATTTTAACTCACTCTTGTTATTATTTTCTTGTCATTCTTCTTTAAAATAACTGGAGTTGTAGTTCTACGTGAGATTATTATAATTGACCACATGAGATATTATCACAAGAATTTCTATTCAGAGTAGCGATTACGCGGTGTTTTCATTTGAGGTTTAAATATGTCTTCGCCATGCAACCATATTGTGCTGTTGAATATCTGCACTGTACTTTTTACCAAAGATATTTATTTTGAATAATACACTCAAACAACTTTGTTATTTCGTCGTCGTTTCTACGTGCATATTAATAATTAAAATTATGTTGTCATTTTTAATCATTGATCATGATAAATTTAAATAAGTGGGAAAACTTTTAAAAAAACAAATTATGAGTATTCGTCTCAGTCGAAAAGCTGTTAAACTCCAGAATCTTAGTAGAGGTCTATATGAGGTCTGATCTTGGAAACTGTTCCAACAGATGTTTTGAAAGCCGCTGATCGGTTTGGTTCTGTGGAAACATGAATCAATCGCATTTCTCGTAGTTCACCTGAACTTATGGGATTCAAGTGTCACAAGTCTAAAAACAGGTGAATTCTCAAAAAGGAATAGTTTCATAGAACAGGAAGCTCTTTCCGGTCTCGTTGCATTGTATTGTATGAGTCCATTATGTCAACAACTTTCCTGCTTGATTCTTAGAAGTCAAAAAGTACTTGAGCTATGCTTTGTAAGACGTGTTAGAATTTCCTCATTGTTGAAAATTATCCTGATAGAGGTGAAAAATTAATCAAGTGTAAAGAGGATGTAGTCACCTTTCAGAAACTGAAAATTTAAAAAAAAACCGATCAGGATTCAATGTCATATCTCTTATTGCATAGCGCATTGAATATTTCAAATTCTGACCCAAGTTCTGTTGAACTTTCAGTTTTGAAATAATGGGTACTTCTGAATAGAAGACAGCATTTGCACTCTAAACTTGAGTTACGGTAAAAGAAAAAGGGAAATGGCGATCATTGTCTATGATAAGAGGAGTCGTTTTCCTTTTCGTTGAAATTGTACATCAATTTTCGTAAAACATCAACAGATTTCCTTACAATTTTTAATCAACATGAATGATATATTTGCTTACTTTTGTTTTTAAATAATGCAAGTTCTGTCAGTGCATCCATTGATTTTAGAAAAGTAAATGCCGCATGAAAAGTTTTTTTGTTTTCATGCATTCATCTAAAACAGCAGCAGAATGCCGTCAAATATTTAAAGTCAAAATAACCGAAAGGAAAAACTTCTTATTTGGAAAAAGTTTCTTCTTCTGAGAACTAGTTATTAAATGTGAAGAGACTGAATTATTTCCTCGAATATAATAAAGATTAATCTGTTTTTTTGTCAGACCTTCTCGACTTTAGACAAGACTTCAGGATTATAGTCTTCTGTGATCTTGACAACAATCTTATTGGAAAATTTGAGTCATATTTAGAGAATGCAAAATAAAATTCATATTTTTCTATTGTATTTTTGGAAACTTCGACGAGGATGAGACATCCATATCAACATTGACCTTATTGTGTCTACCGGTGGTAGTATATCTAACTCTGAAATATTAGAACTTTTCCTATCAGATTAGAAATATTAAATGTACAACTCAACTTGATTGATTCAACTAAGTTTACTGTAGGAATTTTCTGAAGTACAGACAAGAATTATGACTGATACCAATTCAAAATGAACAATCTACACATTTGCAAATGATAGTACCGAACCTGATGTAAAATGATATAGCCTGATTGAAGCCTTCTTGGTTCACTGAACGAAGTAAAATACCATGCTAAAGTTTCACATCTCGGTTGAACAATCTTACCTACGAAAGTAAACATTCAGAAGAAAGGCAGTTTCTTCTATGTATTTACCATCTTGTTCTTTTCTTCACTTGGTATGAAGATTAGAAAATAAAATAGTAGTATGAATAATACTAAATAAAATAATAAGAGTGTGAGTGTAACATCCGTTTATGAGTACTTTTTAGCACTTATATAATTGATAACGAAATTGAATAGCCAGCATTCAAAATTTCTATTCTGTGTTCACCTTCATCAACATTGCACGAAAATGTTGATGGTATCCGTCCCTACGGCACTGTAAAAAACAGGCATTATGAATTTACAGCGGGGCATAAACCCTTTTTCCATTTTTGAAGTATCTAATAAACCTTTCTTTTCCTAATCATAAACGGGAAAAAACATGTATCATCTTCGTCATATACACAGAAAAAGTTTATGTCTCGCTGCAAACTTTTAAACCCTTTTCCATTTATTACATTGTCAAAGACGTTTTTTTCGTGTATTATTTGACGGATTTTTTTTAGTGATCTCCTGCATCATTTGGCTTGATAATAGTGTGAATAATAAAGAGTTTCGAGATGCAAAACAAGAGTTGGGCTCTATTACTAATCATTTGGAGAAATTTCAAGAGGTAACACAATGTCAGAAATATATTGAAGAGCAATCACAGAACGATCGTCTAGTAATTATTGTTAGTGGTCGATTGGGAAGAGAAATAGTGCCTTCTATTCATGAGCTTCAACAAATTATGTCGATTTATGTGTACTGCATGGATAAAAAAAATAATGAACAATGGGCTTGCAAATATAAAAAAGTAAAATTAAATTGAATGAATTTGATCGCATTTTATAATTTCCTGTCTCTAGGTAAAAGCTGTTGTTGTTCAACTTGATGAACTTATTTCTCGAATTACGACTGATCATAAGATTCCGCAAACGGTGGAGGGATCATTGCCAATAATTAGTATTACTCCACATGATGACGCAGGTAACTCAAAGATATGCGTGTATGGTCAATTTTTTTACAAGGGTGGATGTGAGTATTTTTATTAGCACTAGTCAAACCGACATCAACACCCATAACCACGCCTATCGACTTCAGTTTTAACTAGTAAAACTTAATATAGAACTTCAATTTTAACTTCTGAAGCAAAGCTAAAGTGTCAACTGGATTATTCTTCAAGCTAGAGCTTCACTAATTAGTACCCTCAGAATGCTTAATCAATCAATGACAGTGTGAAATGGAGTGCAGGTATCCGAGACGTGCACCGCCCCTAGAAATCGATGGGCGGCGACGGAAAGTATGAGTTAAACTTTCAAATAGTGACGGCGGTGCGGACCGCTACGTAAGCCTTTTTAGTGAGCAGAACGACCGTACCATACTTCGTTCAAAGGGTCGTACGGTGCGGTCGCTCCGTCGAGCGGCCGCTCAGAGCTTACTAAAGTTGTTTATCATAATTTGTTTCGCGGGTTTATTGCAACATTTTTTTAATGAATGCTATATACTCTATTGATCCCGTAAGCTCATTTCAATGTAATTCAATAAGTCTAGAAATGGATCGATATGATAGGAAAAGGGTGTGGGTGAGTGTGGATGGGTGTGGGTGTGGGTATGGAGTGTGAGTAGGGTGTGGGTGTGAGTGTGAAGGTGTGGGTGTCAGGATGTGGGTGTGGGATGTGTGTGTGGAGTGTGGGTGGGTGTGGGTGTGGGTGTGGATGCGGCTCTTCCCTTGATTTACATCCACGGACACCCACACCCACACCCACCCTCACACCCACTCCACACCCTCAAATGAATTATTGTCTAGCAAGATGTTTTTGATGAATTCATATAAAAGTTGCAAATTTATTGCGCCCGTGTTTGTCTTTCTTCTTTGTCTCATTTCACTCAGAAATGTGTGACGAATAATTCATTTTATTGTAAAATCTAAACAAAAGAAATGAAGTGATTTTTCAATTGATGATATGCAAAATCTAAATATATTTCAAACTCGAACTAACGAAATCAGTAAATAATGTTGAAAAAATTCGATAGAAAAGAAAATTTCATTCGCGATAAAATCCGAGTTAATCGCAATTTTTCACATTACCAGTTAAATTTTAGTTAGTTTTAGTCAAACTAAGAATTCTAACACAAAATATTTGAAAACGTCAACAATATTTGTTTTTAACGTTGAGAAAAAACAGATTCTAATCAAGTTCATAAGTAAAAAGCTTTTGTAATTGAGAGCAGTTTAATACTGTTTAAAACAAATGAGAATGACTCATTTCAATGAAATCGATGTTTATTTCTACTCCATACTTTTGTTTCATTTTAGTACCACTACGTGCGAGTTTCGTTGATATTCATCCGAATGCAAAATGGGCACAGAATGGCATTACTGTTGCTGCAGGAAATGGAAATGGCAATGAAACCAATCAACTCTGTTATCCATGTGGTTTGTACGTCGACGATGATCAAACGGTTTATGTCGCTGATTTGAATAATCACCGTATTATGGAATGGAAATATGGTGCTACGAATGGAAAAGCGGCTGCTGGCGGAAATGGAGCTCATCAGTTAAACCAACCAATAGATGTGATTATCGACAAAGAGAACGACAGTCTCATCATCAGCGATTATGAGAATAAAAGAATAGTTCGATGGCCTCGTCGAAATGGTACTCGTGGAGAGACAATTATTTCGAATATCTATTGCACCGGTTTGACAATGGACGAAAATAGATCTCTCTATGTCGTTGACTATGAACAACATGAAGTGAGACGATATAAAATTGGTGACACTGAAGGAACAGTGGTTGCAGGTGGCAATGGAAAAGGAAATCGTCTCAATCAACTCTCTCGCCCTTCCTGCGTATTTGTCGATCGAAATCATTCAGTTTATGTGTCTGATTTGGATAATCATCGTGTAATGAAATGGGAAAAAGATGCAAAACAAGGCATTGTCGTAGCCGGTGGTCAAGGAAAAGGAAATAGTCTTACACAACTGTATGATCCTCAAGGAGTCGTTGCCGATCGATTGGATACTGTCTATGTGGCTGATGGTGCGAATCATCGAATCATGCGTTGGCCAAAACGAGCCACACAGGGAAGTGTCATTATTGGTGGAAATGGTGGAGGAGCACAGTCGAATCAACTCAATTGTCCCATAGGGTTATCATTCGATCGACATGGCAATCTCTATGTCGTCGACAACAATAATCATCGAGTACAAAAATTTAATATCAAATAAACTAATTTCGATGATTAATTTAATTTTTTTTTTGTTCTCTTTCTCTTTCAAATAAATCGCGATTGAATGAAAAAAGACTTGATAGCTATTCTATTCGCACGCGCGGGAAGACCCACATCATTCACATGCATCCATCCGATGTCATATGTCAGTGAATCTGGGGGCCCGATCGTGTGCTACGGACAACAAGACAGTTCCTGGCCGGGCTTTTAGAAACTACCCGGAAGTCCTTCTTAGAAAGCGAACCTAACCTCAACGTACCTCACTCATCCTCTCTCTCTCTCTAACACTCATCCGAACTTGTCTCATCTCAAGAAAAAAAAAAGAAAAAAAAACTCACTCGTCGATGTTGGATGATGTTGATAACTAAAAGGAAAAATATATTAAATGATGAGAAAAAAAAAAGATAACTTACCCCCTATAATCTTTTTCTTCATTGATCAACGGCTAAAATTTAAAGAAAATATATACCCAAGTGAAAAAAATCATACGCAGATCACATAAGATCTTATCTGATCTTATGGGATCATAATTTAGATTTGTCTTACGTAAATAGTTTTTATAACGAAAGTCTCATGCATTAAATATCACTTTTTATCCAGAGTTTCTTCTCGGAGAAATATATTAAATAAACTTTCAATGATGGAGAAGAGAGAACTGTTCGATTTAAGCATTGAAAGAAGGAAGTCATAGCCTTGAGAAATTTCTAATCTTCCACTATCTCTCCAGCTCGAAGGAGCCTACACAAATCCATGCACTTGTTTAAACTAGGTGTACATATTAGAAGTTTTTTTGTATATGCCGAAGTATTGGAAAATGATTGACATAAATCAACATTTAAATTTCGATCCATTTAAAAAAGGTAAGTCAGAAAAGAATCTTAGCCAATGATTCTTATTCTTCAATTAAAACTGAACTTAAATTAGTTTTGAATCCGTTGCCCTCATATATCACTCTCTTTTTGCTGATACTTCAAATGACATTTAATTAAGAAGTACTACCATTTCATTTTACTTATTTCTTTTTCTCATAAAAATCTCAAAAAGCAACAAGGGTGTGTGGGTGGATGTTTGGGGTGTGGGTGGAGTGTGGGTGTGGGATGTGCGTGTGCATGCAGTTTGTAGCTGTCACAGGCTGTATTCCTTTTTTTCACACCCACCCACACTCACATCCACAACACCCACAGCCACAGCCACACCATCCATATCCTGAAGATTGCAAAGAAAAACAGGAAACCTATCGGAGCAACTTCGAAAAGGAAGATGAAATTATGCAAGAACCTTCCTTTTTCGTAAACTAGCAATCAAGTGAGCGAATCGAAGTGCCATATGAACAAAAGAACGCTACGAGTAGGATTCGAACCTACGAAGGAAGATCCCATCTGACTAGTAATCAAACGTCTTAAACCGCTCGGCCATCGTAGATGCAT